GGGATGCGCAGTGCTGGAGCTGGGCTGCCGTGGGGCTCGAGGGCATTCACAGCGTTAGGGGAAGCGGGTGACAGCGGGAGACGCTTAATGCCGCTTAAAACATACGGCCCGACATACCTTGGTGGCGCTTGGATCCTTAATCTCCCCCTCCCTCTGCCCAGGTTGGTGTACGTGTGTTGCAATTATGCTAATGTAAAAATGAGAGGATGCAACTTTCCTACCCATATCCTTATCTGTTAGGCAAACATCCAGTCACGAGGCACCAGATTTAATGTACTGCATAACGTTAAACAGTGATTAAAGTTAATTAAACAGTGATTAAAGTTAAAGTTAAAGCCTAGTTAAACCTAGGCCTCTGTAGACAACTTCGAAAGTCTGGAGTGTGATACGAAAACCTCCAAAGAAATGTTTAGGGCTCTGCATCTGTTTTCAAGGAGAAAGGATGGGTCTGTGCAGGAAAGGCGGAAGGAAAGGGTGTCTCTGTGGCTCTGCGGGCTTAGCAAAGACTAAGAGCAGGGGCTTGAAAGCTGCTCTGCTATTTAAATAAGTAATTTCCACTGCACATTCTACTTGAAGTACTGCTGAAAGAGGTCAAAAGTTCCTTCGCTGAGGTACACAGTTTGCGGTCAAAGTCTAGACTTCTATCTGCAGTTAAGACTTGCTGCACCCTCACAAGGTGCAGCCGCTCACAAAAAATAAATCATCAAATAAGAGGAGTTTTTAAAGTATTATTGCACTAATACAGCAAATTCAGGGGGCTGACGATAGCCAAGCAGAGATACTGATCAAATTTGTTTTTGGCAGCTACTTTCGTTTTTTTTTTTTTTTTTTTTTTTGGATTGTATTGCTTAAAATCATGGTTCATTATAAAAAAAAAAAAAAAGGAAGTGTTAAAGGCACTCATTTAATTTTTGAAAGTTTTAAATAAGGCTTGTGCTTCCCTAGAGTACTTTCAAATTAATAACATTTAATGTTGAGACTGACCGTAGGATTAGTGTAGGAGGCTAGAAACAGAGAGACCGGCTGCTTCCCACAGCTTTCACAAAGCTCTCCTCCTGGGCAGGAAATAAAACTCGCTGGATGTCTTCAGTCTCGCTGCCAGCATGATGGAAGCTAGCCTGAATGTAAAGAAACCTCTTTAAGGCTGTCAGGGGGGAGATACTATAGATGTGTTATTGTTATTCTCGATTCCAGTCTAGAGATGGAACTATCCCATGTGTATAAGAACATTACCACCTTCATGCCACATATTAGTATTTTTGGAGTAATTTGTGAGCGTTGGTAAAATTCCAGGGGTGCAGGAGCGGGGCTGCTATAGTTTGCATT